ATGCAATGATGAGTCAGCCAGCCTTGGCGCCAGCTGCAGGTGGGGCTGCTCCTCCCCCCGTGTCCCCTGCCTCCCCAAAGCCCCCTGGCACGCCCTCCAAGAGTGCCTCGCAATCTACAGTGTCCCCTGCACCTTCACTCATATCCATCAATAACATTGGAGCTGAGGGTGAGTTGAGTTGCTTAACCCTTTAACAAGGGTATCAGAAATCTCTCAGTGTCACTGACACTAGCAACTGTCCTGCTTTGCTTGGAATATGCTATATGTAGTGGAACTCTCCGCTCAGCATGCTCTGGCGCCTATAGCTGTACCCGGCGTATTGAGTCAGTTTATTATGAGGTTTATAGGTGTGGCTATAGATATGGATTAAATGATGTCCTTTTCCTCATCTTCCTCTCATTATTTCCATTAATCATTCCTTGAGCATTTTTTTCAATCAGACTTAGTTTGTTGCATTTGTCTGCACAACATTTAAAGTTGATTTTAAAAAATCATTGATGACCATGAGATGTCTAAAATGCTTCTTCCATTTCAGTGGAGACAGTCATGATGCCTTCAGGAGCAAGCTTGACTTTTACCCCAGTCATGTGTTCCTCGCCGGGCATTGGGGATGGTTGCTGCGACCACTCCCGATGTGAGACCACACCAGACACTACAGTCAACATGAGCATTGCTTCATTTCTTAACAGGTATACTAGTTGTTTGTGCCATTGTTGCAAATACTGTATTGTATTTATTCATTAGAAAATTAGGATTGAATGATTTATTCAGATTGATGATTGATTGTGAGGACTACAAGCTCTGGAAATGGACACTAGGTATAAAGCCTCTGAATATGAGAACACCAGTTGCATATAGCATGGCCTGTCCTTCAGCAAGGCAGAGGAAATCTTTACCAACATCTATTGCTCAACTTTGATACATAATATTGGATTTCTCCTTTCAAACAGTCTGGGTCTGGAGCACCTGAGAGATATCTTTGAGAGGGAAGACATCACACTTGATATCCTAGCGGAGATGGGGCATGAGGAGCTGAAGACCATTGGCATCAATGCTTATGGCCACCGTCACAAGCTACTCAAGGGCATCGAGAAACTTCTTAGTCAACACAGTAAGGAGTCTTTTACGTTGGCGGAAAGAATGATGTTTGTTTTTATTATTATTATTAATGTTTATTAGGTGGTACTTGGTGTTATTGCCTTCTGTTTTGTGAATGATAATCCTGATATACTTTTCTTTCACAGTATCCTAGAGTTGTCTGTCCATTTTTAGATATCTGAGATAATTTTCAAGTTGAGTAAAAACACTGAGCAGGAGACCCAAATTGCCTTCCAGATGGATTACTAGGCAGCGCTTGCAGTAGCAGTGGAGGTGCAAATGGTTCGTCACAGGGCACACTGCTGGTCGATCTTTGCCGGGAGGATCGTGAGTTCATAGCAGTGGATGAGGAGATGCAGGCGACTATCCGAGAGCACCGGGACAATGGCCACGCAGGAGGGGTCTTTTCCAAGTACAATGTTGTCAAGGTTGGTGGAAAGAGAGTTGTGCTTTAGTGCTCTTATGTTGATGCTTTTTGGCCATTGGTGTCTAAGGTTTCATAGGCTGTTTCATATGAGATGTTAAATGTTCAGTTACAAGAGTATGAGGAACAGTAGAAAATTACTATGTATCTTTACATTTTCAGGTTTGCTCATAATGTATATATAGAGCACCGAAATATCTCTTGCCCAATTTGTAAACCTGTCATCTATAGAAAACATTTGAAATATAACCTTTGTTTAGTAGTGTGATGTTCAGTGTTTGAAGCAATATTTACATTTACAAGATAATGTTAGACACATATATTTGTTTCTCTTTCAGATCCAGAAAATAAGGAATAAACGCTTATGGGAGCGCTATGCACATAGGCGTAGAGAAGTTGCTGAAGACAACAGTGGTCAGTCCAATGAGAGAATGCTTTTCCATGGATCTCCGTTTATCTCTGCCATTGTGCAGAAAGGCTTTGATGAAAGACATGCATATATTGGTGGCATGTTTGGAGCAGGTATTGCTTTGCTTTTGCTGTGTGTATGACATTTGATACTCTCTCCCAAAGAGATAGACAAGAAACTGTTGTTTGTGTTTTACATGAATAGTCTATTGCAGCCAGGAATTAATCTGATATCTATTTTTAATCATTTGTTCTAGGTATTTACTTTGCTGAGCATTCCTCTAAGAGCAATCAGTATGTATATGGCATTGTTGGTGGCAGTTCTGTTTTGTGAATGATAATCCTGACATACTTTTCTTTTACAGTATCCTAGAGTTGTCTGTCCATTTTTAGATATCTGAGATAATTTTCAAGTTAAGTAAAAACACTGAGCAGGAGACCCAAATTGCCTTCCAGATGGATTACTAGGCAGCGCTTGCAGTAGCAGTGGAGGTGCAAATGGTTCGTCACAGGGCACACTGCTGGTCGATCTTTGCCGGGAGGATCGTGAGTTCATAGCAGTGGACGAGGAGATGCAGGCGACTATCCGAGAGCACCGGGACAATGGCCACGCAGGAGGGGTCTTTTCCAAGTACAATGTTGTCAAGGTTGGTGGAAGGAGTGTTGTGCTTTAGTGCTCTTATGTTGGATGTTTTCTGGTCATTGGTGTCTAGGGTTTCATAGGCTGTTTTGTATGAACTGTTAAATGTTCAATTACAAAAGTATGAGGAACAGTAGAAAATTACTATGTATCTTTACATTTTCAGGTTTGCATATACTATATATATATAGTGCCCAAATATCTGTTGGGCAAACCTGTCATCTATAGAAAACATTTGAAATATAACCTTTGTTTAGTAGTGTGATGTTCAATGTTTGAAACGGTTTTTAAATTTACAAGACACTAGAGACTTACTCCACTTGTTTCTCTTTCAGATCCAGAAAATAAGGAATAAACGCTTATGGGAGCGCTATGCACATAGGCGTAGAGAAGTTGCTGAAGACAACAGTGGTCAGTCCAATGAGAGAATGCTTTTCCATGGATCTCCGTTTATCTCTGCCATTGTGCAGAAAGGCTTTGATGAAAGACATGCATATATTGGTGGCATGTTTGGAGCAGGTATTGCTTTGCTTTTGCTGTGTGTATGACATTTGATATTGTCTCCCAAAGAGATAGATAACAAGAAACTGTTGTTTGTGTTTTACATGAATACAGTCAATTGCAGCCAGAAATTAATCTGACATCTTTTTTTAATCATTTGTTCTAGGTATTTACTTTGCTGAGCATTCCTCTAAGAGCAATCAGTATGTATATGGCATTGGTGGTGGCACTGGCTGCCCAGTACACAAGGACCGTTCCTGTTATTCCTGTTATAGGTGAGCAGAATCATTCCCACAATAAGTACTTTTATTGGTAATAATGATATTGTCATATCATCAAGTAACTGCTTATTGATTTGTAGATTACTTTTGTAAAGGAAAAACAGTGATATTAAAATGTTTTGTCCGAACCCACCTAACCTCCCCACACTGAGAATCATTTTGACTCTCGAGCAGCAGTGATCAGTGAGAAATTAATTGCTCCAGTACCATTTAATTACAGTGACACTCACTCTCCCCACTCTCCATCAGACAATTACTGCTGTGTCGAGTTACGCTTGGTAAGTCATTCCTGCAGTTCTCAGCGATGAAGATGGCCCACGCTCCTCCAGGACACCACTCTGTTGTTGGAAGGCCCAGTGCTGGTGGGCTCTGCTACCCTGAATATGTGGTGTACAGAGGGGAACAGGTAGGGCCATTTAAAGGACACTGTATTGCTACATAAAATGATCCCTTTTTCTGCCTTTAGAGGTGGTTAGTGTGTGATGCAAAAATTTTAGGACAAGCAATTGTGAGGGAATATAATTGGGATTTTGCATATATCTGATGCTGTTTTTTATTAATATAAATTTTACACATGCTGTTGTATTGGATGTTACTCTTGATTGTGTTACAATATACTTTTTTGTTGATTTTAATCATTGCTCAAACTGAAAAACAAATCTAGCTGGATATTTTCTGTAAAATACAAGTGAAAAAAAGAGAAATTGCAAATTGAAAATGTTATAATTTATGGTTTTATATTATTGACATCAATATCCAGACTATTTTTGGAGTGGAATGATATATTCAGATGCACATACTTATTTTTAAGGTGAAATAACGTTGGTAACAGCTTTAGTTCTGCCACTCTTCACCCTCCTCATGTTTTTTCTCTCTCTCTCTCCTGCAGGCATACCCTGAGTACCTCATCACATACCAGATTGTCAAGCCAGAGGAGGCGGGACCGAAAGAGGACGGTGCCCGGGACAACGACTGACCAGACTCTCCCAGTTTTAACGTGTCGGGGATTCATCAGCATCCTCCTCGTCTTCCTCCTCTTCCTCCTGCCTCTTCGGTATAAGGAGGACATCATTGGTCTCTTAGGAGTGTGGGGGTTGGGTGAGAGGGGGGAGGAAGGGAGGGGGGAAGCTGAGAAAGAATATTGTCTGTTGTGTTGATTGTCAGAGGAAGTGAGAAACAGACGCTTTGTAAGAGAGAGGGACTTGGGTTGTCTTTTTCTGTTCTCTGTTTTCTTCTTTCGTCGTCATCTTCTACTTCTGTTTATTTTTTTCCTTTTTTTTTTTACGCATATTTGCATTATCGTATCGTATTTGTTTCCCCCTCCGTCTGCTTTCGAAACTGGTTGTGAAGAGATTTTTTTTTTTTTTCTCTTTTTTAATTTGCAGCAAAGAAGGGAGGATCTCCAAATATGTACCTCGCATGTAGCTGCACTATTGGAGGTGAAAAAAAAAAGGGGGGGGGAATCAAGAAATTACAAAGAAATTTTAATGAAAGGGGAAGACAAAGGTCAAAGAAATTTATGTATGTATCTAATATAATGCGCCTCTGACTGCTTTAAGGTGGATATTTCAAGAAAGGGAAGCTTTGAAAGTGGGATGGGGGGAACACTCTAAAATGACCCCCCCCTCCCTCCCCTCCCCTCCCACGTTCCTTTAAGTGGGAGCACAATCACATGTTCTTTAGTCATTCCAAGCAGGAAAAAATTACAAAAGTCAAATACTAAATTAAAAAAAAAAAAAAAAAAGAAAATTAAAAAAATTGCATGTGTGGGAGATACAGAGTGAGTGAAAGAGATATTTAAAAGACTTGTGTTTGAGAGTTGTATTCCTGATTTGATATTCATATCGGTGGACATTGAGAAAAGTTCACGTGATTTATCAACATGCCAAGGAGGATTTTACTAAATCATCAGCTGTTCATTGTTATTATAATCATGATTGTTTATTTATATATATTTTATTTAGCTATTTATGGTGTTCCATGTAATTTTTATTTTAGAAAGTGTGTAAAGTCTTTTCTCTTGGTTCTGATCAAGTGAAGCTGTCTCCATCATTTGATGAAGAAAAATTGTGTTCATGGCCCTACATGGGAAAATTTGATTCCACTGAGGCTGGTCGTGTTCTTAGGGGAATGGTCGTAGAGGGGCCCAAAGCTGGTAACTTTGGGCAACACAATTCAGGAGTCGATACGCATATTTTTATACTCCCATTTCGATTTTTATAGAAATGTGAACTGTAGGATTTGCATATTACTTTCTAACGTGTACTCACAAGGCGATGTTTGAGGTGTGTGATGTTCAGGTAGAAGTGTTTAGCTTTTCTTTCCTTTTCTTTCTTTCTTTTCTTTTTTATCCAAAAAATAGTCTTTCATTTGTCTTGACTTGAAAATTACATTGTAGAAAATGATGTAAACATTTCAAGGGAGATATTACAGAGGCAGTTATGTTTATATTAAGTGTGTTTGTGTGCGTGTGTGCATAGAAAGTGACTTACTTTGCATGTGTGTATGCAGTTTGGCATACACACATAAAGCATTCGCACATCTTGCGAGGCTGCTTTGGAACAGGGGAATGGGACTATACTCTCGGTCCTTTCAAGAGATGGCTTTAAGATGATATCCTTGTGTCTGTATGTTTTTCCTTCATCATTTGGTTTGTGTCTTGATGCGAAAGTAGCATTTAGTGTGTGTGTATATATTGGAGGGAGAGATGTAATATTTCTTATATAAAGTTGCCAGGAACAGATAGTATTGGGCATTTTTTTTTTTTTTTTTTTCCTCTTTTCTTTTCTTTTCTTTACTTTAATGATTGATTATTGTGTTAATTTAAGAGGGGATTTATATATTTAAATATATGTATATGTATATGTATATGTATGTGTGTGTATATATATATATATATATATATATATATATATATATATATATATATATATATATATATATATATATATATATATATATATATATTAGACAGTTGCCAGAGAATCTTGTGGGTGCTCCTGTTTTAAATTTTTTTTAACACCTCACACAGAATAGATGTACATTTTCATTGTCATCGCATCACATTATCATCAACACTGTGATCTTGGCCAAGTTGTTTGGTAGTAGCTTAATAACTATTGTTATTACCATAATTATCTTTTGATTTCTCTTTCTGACATGGCATTGCTGATACATATCCCATTAGCCGTGTTTAGTTGGCGGCACATCTGTTCGAAGAGGACGGATTCTGAGAGAATTGTGCAGCAGCTCTAAGTCAACATTGTGAATTAATCGTTAATGAAATAAAGATAAATATTCAGTTAATACACTTATTATTAGCTCGCACAGCTTGGAAGTTGCTTCATATTTTAAAAATTTCTCTTGGTCTAGATTTGCAGTCTTTCAAAACAGGAATATGTGGGTGTGATAACTGACCCAGTCCAATCTTGTCTTTCATTGTGATTAATGATATTTATATAAATAAAAAGTTTTTTTTTTTTTTTTTTTTTTTTTTTTTTTTTTTTAAGGAAAAGTAGGAAGTCTGGATGGTTCAAAGGCTCCCTAACTATTGTTTATATGAAATGTGAATGCCAACTAGTGTATGGATTATAAATGATTCCTGTAGATTTCTTTCCGACTTCAGTCTCCCTATCTCGCCACTTCGTCCTACTCCCTTGCCACTCCACTTTTTATGTTTTCTACGTCTTGCCCATCTATTTTCTATTACCACATATATGAATAAATTATGAGTGTACAGGCATAAATGCAAACAGACACACTGATGCAAAAACACACACATGAGGGTTAGAGGATGTAAGATGTAATCCATAAACAGGAGATTCACCACTCCTTTCATGTATGAAATGGTTAACCGGAAGGTATAGATCTTTTGATATCTTAGTCGCGTGGAGGTACTGTGTAACTGCATTTGTATGGCATCGTCTTCCAAGAAATGGTAAAGAAGCTTGGAAAGATGAAGTGAAATTTCATTTTGTTTTGAGTTTTGTCTTTTTTTTTTTTGTAGCGAACGGAAACCCGTCATCTTGAGGGAGAATGAATCTCAGTCCTAGTAGGTGTGTTCAGTAGACTGTGTTTGGAAAGCCGGTGTGAGTCGAGGGCGTGAAATAGTGAAATGGTGTCGTGCGAGTCCTCCGCCAACCCTGCTGAAGCATTGGCATGAGGAGGGAGGGTGTGAACTTCAGAAGGTGGCACAAGGTGGACAAGAAATCTCCTGCATTAGAAGGAAATGGCATGTGTTGCACCTTTTGGAAAATGAAGCTTGAATGATGTGTCTGGTGTTTTGAAAGTACGAGCAAAAAAAGAAAAAAAAAAGAATGTGAATAGGCTGAAAATAGGCTGGAAAATATATAACATGAACACGCTTGCTCCACGTGTACATACGAAGCTGAAACTAAGTGGCCATCGTTACTCATGGGAGAAAGATGCCAAGAGCCAAGTTCTGGACTGCGGGCGAGTGGGCAGGCAGCTCCCGTGCGCATGACAGCTCATTGCAAAGCTCTTGTGCCACCCCAGACCTTGTTATTTTGTATCTCTTGGGTTTTATCTTTCGTTTTTTTTTTCTTTTTTATTTCCATATTCTTGGTGAGCTTGAATTCTGTTGAATTTGTACAAATCCATGTAAATAAATATGACATGCTTTTTACATTATGGTGTAAATATTATCTGAAAATAAATTTGTGAAATATTTGTAGTTGTTTTAAGACATCCTTCATAGATGGTTTGAACTGTTCTTGAGAATAACTAATCATAAGAATACATTTACTATAGTGCTACATGACCTTAGATGTCTTAGCACATTTATTTTGCTTTTAACCATTAACCATTAATCATAAGAATTGTATGATTAGTGCATATACAACGATTATATGAGAGAGAGAACATGCATGCACACACACGTTCAACAGTCTCATGGCCCATGTGCCTCGTATATTAAACCTTCATATATACTGCAAATATTACTAGTACTAAATAGGAGTAATAAAGAAGTGAGAATATTTACACTTATCCCTTACCCTAATACCTTCATTCCTCCTCTCTTCCGCCTTCTAAAAGTTATTCTTCTTATTTAATGTTGTACTCTATTTGAGTCCCGTCCACACTGGGATAAGTTAACAGGTGCGTATGGCGTCACTGGCAAGTCGATTTCGCAATATTTCCCAGATCGAGCAGTTCCTGGGCCACAGCGGGTAAGGTATATTTAAAAGAATAGTTGGTTGACTTTTATGTCTCTTAATTTACATCATGTAACATGCATCGCCTGATTTGGACTTCGCAAGTATTTACTGTTATTAACATGAGGTGTAAGCGTGTTTTATAATACGTGCTGTGTTTCCCAAACTATGATTTCATTTGTGGAAAATGTTTATATTTCTATACTATCCGGTCATGAATATACCGTTACAACGAATTTTCTTTATTTCTTTACTATTTCTGTCACAAACAATTAAGTATTGTTTATTCATATATCACATACATGGTCATTTCAAAAGTTATAAGGTAAAAAATAGTAACACAAAAAACAAATGACACCCATAAAACAACACTTTTTCAGCCTATAAGGTCGACAATAGAACTAAAATAAATTTATGAATTAACGATAAATACATTTGAAACTATAAAACAACTCTTGTACAAAGCAGACTTGGTTATGATGGTTATGCTTTTTATTGGAAAGTTTCTTCCCTAATTACGGTGTATGAAAACTAATATTTGCCTACTATCAACCTTAGATATTTTACGAATGCTTAACAAAAATGATAATTCTACAACGTGAGAACTTTACTTGGCTTTTGATATTACATCATCAGGAGTACCTTTTCTACCTCTAGATGATACTTCTATTTTTAAATGTATGAAAAGGCACACATACGTACATAAACACACTTATACATGAAGTCAAGTAAAAACGGTATGGATGAGAACAGATAGTTTGTAAGTGTAAAATATGTAATTCACCGGTTTCGATTATATCTTCGTCAGAATTACATATCTTGCACTTAAGATATTCATTCGTATTCACGCACACACACGTATATACATACATATATGCATACACACATACATACATACACACACACACACACACACACACACACACACACACACACACACACACACACACACACACACACACACACACATACACACACACACACACACATACACATACACACACACACCAACACACACACACACACACACACACACACACACATATATAGATAGATAGATAGATAGAGAGAGAGAGAGGGAGAGAGAGAGAGAGAGAGAGAGAGAGAGAGAGAGAGAGAGAGAGAAAATTTTATCTATCTATTTATCTTATCTGTCTATCTATATATACATATATATATATACATACATATATATATATATATATATATATATATATATATATATATATATATATATATATATATATACATATATACATGTACATATACATATATATATATATATATATATATATATATATTATATATATATATATATGTGTGTGTGTGTGTGTGTGTGTGTGTGTGTGTGTGTGTGTGTGTGTGTGTGTGTGTGTGTATTCATATATACATAAATGTGTATATATATACACAGATATATGTATACACACACACACACACACACACACACACATACATATATATATATATATAT